CACATGTCTGCATAGCAACACACGGTTGACAGACAGTGCTGGGTTTGTAGTCTACTGTACTTACGGGCGATAGCTGACGGAGGAGGGCAGAGTGCCTGGATGGCAGATGGTGGTCCCCTTAATGCCCCGAACCTGTGTTCCTGTAAGCAGTGCACCCCAACTTCCGTACTCTTGATATCGAGGCCAAAGAATGCTTTGTCGTGGGAACCTGTCCTGTGCAGCCTTGGCCAAAAGCACCTCCATCCACCCCAGTTGTAACAACTGGAAGTGTCTCCAGACCTTGTCAGACTCCCCCTAGAATGGAAAAATCACCCCGCCGCAGCTCAGAACAGCGGCTGTCAGAAGTCAGCTGTCACTTATTTTATTTTATCTGACTGTACCTGCTCTGGTGCTGAACTTTCAATAAACTTAGCAGTTTTGAGATCATCAGTTTTTGAAACTTAACTAGAGATACTCAGCTTTGTCCCATGGGTAATGTATGCTTAAATCCGTGATACTGACAGGGTTCATAGACTGTCACTTAAAATTATACTTGAGCCAGTAAAACAACATAAAATAACCTTCTTAGAAACTTTCTGGTAAGTTAGATTATTCTCCATCATTACACATTCCCTTTGTCTATAATTTGACCTGCCTACTCAAAATTTTTAAACATTGGTTTTTATCTAACAGGGATTTTATTTTATTTTTTTTAGAAGCCATATTGGTTATGTGTGAATTGCCCATCTTTTTACAGTCTCTGTTCTGTGAGTTTATACAATAAGTCTCTAGTAAGAGACAGACGTGGGAGTGAAAATATTTCTCCCTAACCACAGGAAGGGATTTTTACAATGCTTCTTAGAGGCGGATAGCCGGGTACCTCACCCATCAGGAAACAGGGAACTGTTCCTGCAGTTGGAAAGCAGCTTTATCTGAGATAATCCATTCCATAAACTTCCTCTTACAGAAGAGATGATCCAACTGATGGACATTTCTTTAAAATACCCAGATGTCCTTATATGGAAAAAAGACTCTTGTGTGAATTTCTTTTCCCTTTGCTCTAAAAAAAAAATATTGTGACAGAAGCGATTTGAAAAGAGAAAGGGCCTGTCCTGGCTCACGGTTCAAGGCACGGCACGGTGGTGGGGAAGTGAAGGCTGTGGGGGCTCAGGGCAGCTGGCTGCATCACATCCATGGTCAGAAAGCAGAGGGAAACGAAAGCGTTTTGCTGCTCAGCTCTCTATCTCTAGGAGCCCACACAGGGAATAGCACCACCCACAGTGGGCAGGTCTTCCCATCTCAGTTAACTCAATCAAGGTAATCCTCATGCACATGCCCAGGGGCCCATCTACCAAGTGATTCCATATTTTGTCAAGCTGACAGTTAACACTCGCATCATCTTTTTAAGAGAAACACACTTAAAATTAGTAAATAACTGTGTTTGAAAAATAACATACATCATGTTCGGTATATCAAAGGATGGACTTCTGTTTTTAGAATTTAGTGCATTTTATTTATCACATTACACCATTTTTACTGTTGATCCAAGGGCATCTGTACAAACAGGGAGTCAGACAAACCTAGAAAATCCCAGGTGGTCTCTGATAATAGTATCCAGAAGATCGAAGAGAAGGATGTGCCTTTTACTTAAGAAATGTTGAAGAGAAAAATAACGCAGATACCTTGTACTTCGGTAGTAAATAAGAGAGGACATGGCTGTGTGGTCAGACAGTTATTTTTATCATCGGCGTAATTTTTTTAAAGAAACAGAAATCAATAGTGTTAAAAAGCCACTTACACTCTGAGCTGGAAGCAGCTGCTTTATGCCATGAAATTCCCCTTGCTGTTCCGTTAGTGGCTGAGTAATTCAGTGTGTCTTGAATGTCAACGTTTTTATTACGCAGCTAATGTTGGCTTTGCTGGATTAAATGTCATTTAAAGTGATCAATTGGAAGCTTGTTTGGGGTTACTTTCAAATTCATGAAAGGGAAAAGAAGTTGCAATATACAAATGTTCTTGAAGCTTACAAGTCAAGTCTGTTCTCTGGCAAGCCCTGCCCTGTGTTTGCCATCCACTGGGCACATCATGCAGTCACATCCTGGAACCCAGTTTGATGCCTCTGAAAAGCCTGGCGTGAAACCCCAGGGCTGGGTAAGCCTTTAACTGATGGAGTAATCCGAGCGACTGTATAGTTGTATAAGTTGTGTGATACCAGGAATGTGCCATGGTAGCAAAAAGAGAAAGTGCAGTGGGATGGAGGTCAGGAGAGCTGTCCACTCTGCATTTGAACTCTGCAGGAGGCCTGAAGCCCAGAGGACTGTAGTTGTTGCCTTATGTTAACCTTGTTAAGGTGAACACACTAGATCCAGGCTTGGAGGTGCACACCTGTAATCCTTTTGCTGGGTAAGTGAAGGCAGGAGGATTCTGGAACATACTGGCCGGTCAGTCTACTAATAAAAGACCATGTCTCAAAAAATATAGTGGGTAGCAATTGACAATGCAACGTTGATTTCTCACCTCCAAATGTACATGTGCTTGCACTTATGTGCGTGTGCACACGGCTGACGCCACTGAGGCGTGCAGAACGGGGGCTGTGTGCACACCTGGGCTTCTCCTTGCTGCATGGCATTTTATGTGAAAGTATTTGGTTTAGGGAGATGTTTTCCAGTTAGGTGAGACTATAGAAAACTCAGATGTGCCTGCCATTTGCCATTTGTGGTACCAAAGCTGGACAAGGGAGCCACAGCTCTGTTCTGGTCTTCGTCTGTTCTGGCTGCGGAAGCAGAGACAGTAGGGATTAGGTGAATGAGGAGCCGCACTTCTGTCAGGTCAGCCTTGGAGGGTTAAGACAGGAAGGTTACTACGAGTTTGAGGCCAGCCCGGGCTATGTACTGAAGCTCTGTCTCCAAAAAAGCAGAAAATAACGGAGAAGAGTGAGGAAAAGGACGGAGAAAGGAAATGTCTCACAGACTTGTAGAGGCTGCGTGCTGAAGGGCAGAGCACCCAGCAGATCTGAGGCCTGCTGATGAGTGTGCGTTCTCTTCCACAGATAGCGTCTTCTTGCTGTGTCTGTGTCCCCACAGGTAGATATGGTAGGGATCTTTTATAGATACCTTTTACAAAGGCACTAATAGGGCTGGAGGGCTGGCTAGGAGCACTTGCTCTGCTTGCAAAGACCCCAGGTTCGGTTCCCAGCACCCACATGGCAGCTCACAGCAATCTGTAATTCCTTTTCTAGGGAATCCAGTGCCCTCTTCTGGCCTCCATGGGATCCCGCATGCATATATTGCACATTTACTCAAACAAATGTAGACATGTACATATAAATAAATAACATATACATTCAGTCATTGGCCTTCTGTTACCAGCCATCTGGTTAACCCTCTGGAACCATACAGTAAGCAGCTAGAAAAGGCACCTCTACTCTTAGCCCAGGGCCAAGCCAACATCAGCAGTACCCAGGAGATGCACATCTGTCTCTACTTATCCTATTGAGCTGAGCTGGAGAGTGGACCAGGTACCTTTACAGCATAGACCCAGAAAGCCAGGGCTCCACAGCCAAGATCCTGGGCTGAGTGCAGTGAAGAGCCACACTCAATCATCTGATGGATGTTTGCTGCCTGGCCACATAATCGGATATCAGTTCTGCACATGAGAAATGATTTTCTTGCACCAAGTTCCTTTCCACCATGATTCCATTATGATAAAGCAACTTGAAAGACCTCCAAAGGATGGTCTAATGAGAATATCTGTATTTCTTTTTAAAATGCTAACCACAGTCCCCACAGCCAATGTCACCAAGCCACATAGTTTTTAATTTCCCATCGTTTTTCATGTATTGCTTTCTTTGTAGCCTGTCTTCCTCTATCCATTTAGCATCTCCTGCCAACTACAGGATAATCTTTAAACTCTAATCTTTTAACTTTTTATCGTCTTGTTCTCATTAAACCTCAAGTGTTTCTTTCTGGTCTCAGGATATGGGTCAGTCGGTTAAATGTTCACCACATTAGCATGGAGACTGGATAGTGACCCCCAGCACTCCCATTAAAAGCCAGATACGGCAGTGCATGTCTGTAAACCCAGCTTCTGGGGAGACCGAGACAGGAGGATCAGAGTTCGAGGACCAGCCAGTCTAGATTCCTGTTCAGTGAGAGACCTTGTCTCAAAAGTAAATAAGTAGATAAAAAGTGGATGAAGGGGCTGGAGAGGGAGCTCCGTGGGTAAGCGTTGGCTCTGCAAACAAGAAGACCTGAGTTAGAATCCCTAGCACCATGTAAAAGTCAGGCATAACCATGCATGGCGGTCACCCCAGAACTGGGGGAGGGTGGTGGACATTGATGGACCCTTAGAGCTTGCTGGCCAGCCAGCCTAACCAAAATGGTGAGCTCCAGGTTCCATGAGACCCTGGCTCAAGACTGGAAGGTGGATAATGACAGGGGAAGACACCCAGTGTCTCCTTGCTTCCTAGTGTGTACATGTATGCCACACACTCTGGCTTTCTAGTGTGTACACATAGGCCCACACACCACACACACTCACACAGAAGAAGTTTGAAAGGTAGTAAGATGGAGAGCTATTGAGGAAGACATTTGTGTCAGCCTGTGGCCCCCACAGACGGACGAGACACACGGACACACACACACCGACTCTTGCCACCATGTGTCCTAACTGTCTTTGGAGCCCTCTGTCAAAGCCTGTCTGTTCATTTGCAGGTGTACCTTGGTGCCTCATCCTTCAGATGGGCTGCTTCAGCCTCAGCCTTTGCCATGACTTTGAAAAAGTCTTTTCCTCCTCCTCGGTCCTCATATAGAGGTCATGGCCTGGGTCAGTGCCGAGCCTCCCTGGGTCAGAGGTCAACAGGATCTCACAGGCTCTCTCTGGACCCATTTCATCTGTGAAATGAGGAAATAAGACAGTCAGTCAAATCCAGGCCCAAGCTGTGATTACAAACCCTGTTTCTGAGTCTTGTGACTGCCTTGACAGGAATCCTTCTCAACGGCACTCTCGCTTTTCCTCTGTAGACTGTAGACTGCTTTGGGATTACGTCTATCAGTTGCTCTCCGACAGCCGGTACGAAAACTTCATCAGATGGGAAGACAAGGAATCCAAAATATTCCGGATAGTGGATCCCAATGGATTGGCTCGCCTGTGGGGAAACCATAAGGTAAAAAAGCCAAATATTTGTTGGGAAAGCTGGTGTAAAATAGTCTTCATCCTTGAGTTGGGAGGATGGTTGTCGTTTTGCCTTCCTCCCAAGTCTGCCCGTGATTATTTGGTTTGTTCCTCCCTGGACGAACAATTAGGTAGTTGTGAAGGAAGGAAATGATTAAAGATGCTTTTTTTTTCCATGTGTTACCTCTGTCTGGGGCCCATTAACTCAGAGCTCAGTTCCGTAGACTGATTGTAAGTGCCGCCCCCCCTCCCGGCCACTCCCCTTGACCTGGACCTGCCACCCTGTTGTCCTTATGGGGAATAGGGAAGTAGTGAGAGCTGTATGACTCACAAGGGACCTTTGGGAAGTGTCACTTCTGTCCCCATCAGTTGGAAACTCCCCTTCTCACAAAAGTCCATTTCTGCATGGAAAATACATTGTGATTATAAAATACCCCCTTTACAAGCAAGAGGCGCAGAAAGCCTGCCCCCACAGTTTTCCAAAGTCAGAAGAGGAAGTGGGATCCAAAACAGTCCTTTATAGTGTGGAAGACAGTTCAAGTGTGCAGATATGAAAAGGAGCTAACGGTGGCCAGGCCAGTGGACAGAGAAGGAGATCTAGGACCAGGCTGTGGGGGGATACTGAGGTGGCACAGCTGAGCCTCAGGCCTCCTAAGAAGGCAGCCTGATCCCTTTCCCAGCGGAGGAAGACCAGCCAAGGGCCGTGGACAAATATGCTGAGGACCCATAAACAGACTTTTAAGTGTTTGAGTCACTGAGGGACCTTCTGTGCACTGCCCGGAGACAGACCGGAGACAAGTGTGAAAAAGTCATTGCAACAAAAAAAGATATGTTACGTGATCCAGGACACGAAGGATGGACCACCTGTCTCCTACCCGAGATAGAGGAAGCCGGGAACCATCTCAAGAGAAGGAGACAGGGCTGCAGGGGGCTGTGCTGGGTTAGTTAGCACTTATCCGGGGCAGTTCAGTCTAGGAGGGGCCCTGGCCACAGTGGCTGTGAGGGCAGGTGGCAGAAGGAGGGGCCCGAGAAGGCCGCAGACCAGCAGGTGGAGTTCCCAGGCCGGCGAGGCCATGTGGAGCAACTCCACAGCCTGTATTTTAGTAGCTGCCCGGTGCCTTTTCTGTGGTTCATTTCATTGTGTCTTTGTGCTTTTTTTTCTCTCTCCCTTCCTCCTTTGAACAAACAGAACAGAACAAACATGACCTATGAGAAAATGTCCAGAGCCCTGCGCCACTACTACAAACTAAACATTATCAGGAAGGAGCCCGGACAAAGGCTTTTGTTCAGGTAGCACTTCCTCCTTTTCCTTTCCTTCTTTTGGGAGGATATGATTTTCTTTACAGAAGAGGGAGGAGGGAGACGGTTAGGAACTCGGGCATGCCTAGCTGAGACCAAAGCCATCATTGCCAACACTGTTCGTTGGAAACTGGGTAGTGGTTTGTTAGGATTTAAGGTTTAAAAAAAAAAGGCCTTTTTTTTTTTGCTTAAGTCTGTCCTGTATGAAAAGTGAAATCTGACTCACCTCTAAAATAACATAGTGACCAAATAGCATTATCAGACATTGAAGTCTGGTGGAATAAAAGGGAGTAATCAGAAGAACCATTGTCAATAGCAAAGTGAAGGATTAAGCTGGAACTTCCAGGTCACCAAACCTGGAAGCTGCTTTGTCACGCTTCAGGTCATGACCCATGGTGAGTCACCGAGTGGGTGTCAGCCACAGCCATTTTTTTAATGAAATAGAGGATACAATATGGTAGAGTTGGAAATACCAAATTATAGCTCATCAAATAAGAGTGACTGTTAAGTCATGAAGATTTTGTTTATATGTGTGTATTCATATGTGTGCACACACGCATGTGGAGGTCAGAGGTCAACCTCTGGTGTCATTTCTCAGGCCCTATCCACCCTGATTTTTGAGATGAGGCCTCACTGGCTTGGGCTGGCTAAGGAGCTCGGGGATCTGCCTGTCCCCATCTCCCCAGCAGCTGGGATTACTAAGCGTATATCACTGTGTCCCCTTTTGTGTGGGTGGGGACTGAACTCACGTTTGCATGGCAAGTGCTTTACCCACTGAGCCCCCCAAATTGTACATCTTACAAATGCATCATGGTTAGAGAAGTGTGAAGGCCTCTGGAGCAGGCAGCCCTCCCGCTTCCCCGATTCCCCATAGCTAATGGTTTCCCGCTGTTCCAATTACCATGGAGACTGAGGTTCCCAGAAGTAGAATGGAAGGAAGGGTCTAGGGGCCACTGAGGATGGCACAGGTGGACCCCTGACACCCGTGGTCACTGATGTGGTGGGAGGAAGCAGGAAGGGCAAGTGGGACCTCGGGTTATAGGTTTTGGCAAATTAGACAAAAAGAGCAACAGATGGGTCTGGAGATTTCCCACTTGTCCACGTCCAGGTAGGAAAATGTCACTGTGTATGAGCCGCTGTGCCAACAAGGATGAAAGTATTCATTAGGATGGCAGATAAGCCCGGCATGAGCACTGAGGTGGGGTGGCCATGTGGGGACAGTAGCGATCACGTTCATCTTTAAAGGAACAGGAAGAGCCGTTGAAGAAGCTGCAACAGAAAAGAATAAGTACAGAAGTGCCCTCCCTGCCTCCTGCTCAGTTCACGCCCTCTCTTCGTCCTTCACCCCGAATTTTCAGCTCCCCATTCTTTCATCCTAGATGACTGGATCCCACTACATCCAACTTTATTTGTCATCTCAGTCATTAGTCATAAACCTAGCTCTGAACCCTCCTGGAATTTCAGAGACTCCTGTGTGATGTGCCCACTAAGACCATAGTAGTACTCCAGACATGGTTTCTGCAAGGCAGGCGTCACGCACGGCTGAGGAATTCCACCCAGAATGCTCTGGTCTCATCAGCTGGCCACCGCTGTGTGAAGTCGTCTTGAAGCTGGAGCCGTCTTGGATGCTTCCCACATCCAAGTCAGCTGCTGAGCTGCCCTGTCACCTGGTTCTGCAGCACTGTCCCCGTCCAGTTCTGTGTTGAGGGCCTGAAGCCTGGCAGCTGCATTTCCCAGGGTTTGCAGCCAGCCTGCCTCAGGTTGAAGTCTGTGACAAGCACATTCCTGAGGTGTCTGATGGAAAGGGAACAGCATTCCAGTTCCTCTGCCAGGCCTGTTTATCCTCCTGTTTTCACATACACACACCTCCAAGGCTGCCTCAAGTTGACTGTCCTTTTCAGGGCCCTCTGCGGCTGCTCAGTCACACATAGATGTCCGCTTCCCCATCTCTGAGTTCCCTTTGTCCTCAGGCACACCGTGAGGTTCATTTTTTTTTTTTTTTTTTTTTTTTTTTTTTTTTTTTTTTTTTTTGGTTTTTCAAGACAGGGTTTCTCTGTGTAGCTTTGCGCCTTTCCTGGAACTCACTCTGTAGACCGGGCTGGCTTTGAACTCACAGAGATCTGCCTGGCCCTACTTCCCGAGTGCTGGGATTAAAGGTGTGTGCCACCACCGCCTGGCTTAGGTTCATTTTTAATAGTTTGTGTGGCCCTGGAAAGATGGCTCAGCAGCTAAGAGTAATTACTGCTTTTGCAAAAGACCCAGGTTCAGTTCCCAACACCCACGTGATGGCTCACAACCACCTGTAACTCCAGTACAAGGGTATCTCATGCCCTGTTCTGGCCTCTTCCGGCTCCTGCATGCACATGGCACACATAAACTCAGGCAGGGCATATAATGTATATAAAAATAAGTCTTTAAAACATCTTTAGGAGTTGTGAATAGTATAGTTTAATAATATGTGTGCTGAAGAAATGGTTCAGTGGTTAAGAGCACTGACTGTTCTTCCAGAGGACCCAAGTTCAGTTCCCAGCATCCACATGGCAGCGCACAGCTGTCTGTAACTCCAGTTCCAGGGGATCCAACACCTTCACACAGACACACATGCAGGCAAAACAGCATCGCATCTAAAATTGAAAATAAATCGTCTTTTTAAAAAATAATATGTGGGAAAGCTTCCTCACCACAACTAAACCATAAGCTCCTAGGAGACAGAGTCTTCTGATTTATTTAACTTTGTGTGTACATTACTGAGAGTTTCAGTAAACGCTGGTATGAAATATCAAAAGCTTACCATGGCACAGTAGCCTGAAGAAGGGGCAGTTTCGAAGGCCGAATACAGTGTATCTATAAAGTTGGCCTGGGAGGATCTTTAGCTTCTTCAGATGCTGAGGGAGACGTTTTAGCGAGACTGTGAAAGCAGAAGACAGGCAGCCCCTGTGACGTGCCCTGCTCGGGGAGCTTGGCAGGCTCGAGCAGAAGGGAATGGCAGGCGGTGTGGGAGGTGCTCCAGTGTCCACTGAGAGGCTTTGAGCACGAGAAACGAAGAGTGCTGTTAGAGAGGAGCCTTTCCCGAGGAAGAGCGTGGTGGAGGCCAAACTACAAAGCGATGCCTTATTGGTATATGACTCTGTGTAACAGAGGGAAGTGGGGCGTGGCAGGTGTGCTCCAGGGTGGGTAGGTAGACCACAGGGTGGACTCACGCCAGTAAGCACCCCTGGAAGGAGTCCAGGAAGTTCCAGATCAGAACCATGCTGAAAATGTGCAAAAAGACGTGAGCCGTAGTTCCTGTCAGGACTGGCAGACGGGAATGGCGGCTTGACGGAAGTGAACAGTAGAAAAGTGTTTCTTGGGGGGCAACGGCAGATGGGTCAGAGACTGCATCTCTGACTTGGTGGAGGGATGATAGGGAAAGTGTGTTTGAAGGTAGCTCACAGGTGCAGGGCAGAGCATAGGACAAGGGAAAAGAGCAGACACCGTGGAGGCTGAGGAAAGCCTCGTCCCCCCGCCCATCCCACCCACCCGCAGGGAAGGACACGACGTTTGCAACCAGGCTTCCTCCCTGCGCTGTGCAGACCGTAGTCAGACCATGACACTGGTGCTATTCCAAGTGACACACAGTGACCAAGCGTGTGAGGCTTGCTGTACTCTCCAGCTACAGAGGAAGGGGGCATGCTGAAGGGAAGTCATTTCTGGCCGTTCGGATAGATAGATGGTGGGGGGTAAAAAGGATTTGTCTTGCTTTTCTAATTTCTAGAAGCTTCTTTCCCTAAGCTGCCCGTTGATCAAAAGTATCCAGTAACATCGAATAGCATCCTTTGAGTTAAATTCAAGTTTTGAAAACTATTCCCCGGGCTCTGAGTCTGGAGTGGAAGTAGATGTGGGACTCTGGTGGGTCTTTGTAAACGTCTGTCTAGGGTTGAAGAGAAGGCTCCACTGGGCAAGAGTGCTGGCTTGCACAAGCATGAGGAGTTCAAATCTCCAGCACTCACATGCAAAGCCGAGTGAGGCTGTGCACACCCCTGCAACCCCAGCTCTGTGGAGAGCAGAGACGGGTGGGTCACTGGGGCTTGCTGACCACCAGCCTGGCTCCAGGAGCTGTCTCAGGACTTAGGCAGAAAGTGGCATAGCGGTACGCATGGTGTCCTCTCGGTTCCCTGCACGGGACGCATCCACACATGTGTACATAACCACACACACACAATCTTTAAAACTATGAAACAGACAAGTGAGCAATACCCAGGTCCCTTTGTGCAGTCCAGCAATAAGACGCTCCTAGCACCAAAAGGCGCTGTCTTCTCAGTCCCCTCACCTTGTCATGTCATTTTGTCACCTTTCAGACAGGTAAGAAAGGAACCTTTCCCTAATCCGTGCTGAGGTATCACCAGTGTCTAGGTTCAGGGGGTCCCCAGCTCCGTGCACGTTGCTCTAAAGGTTGGGGTAGAGAGGGAGGACGCCTTTGGGAATACAGACTCTTGACTCTTTTATTTCCTGCTTAAAGGTTCATGAAAACCCCAGACGAAATCATGAGTGGCCGGACAGACCGTCTAGAGCACCTTGAGTCTCAGGAGCTGGATGAACAAGCGTACCAAGAGGACGAATGCTAAGGGGACCCACCACGGCCGCACCGGCTGGCCAAGAGGAAACCTGCCCACAGGGACCGCTGGAGGCGTGATGGAGCAGGCGAGCTGGGGGTGGCTAAGAGAGAAGAGGCCCAGGAATGGCAGGAATGCTTTTCCTCCACACCGAGAGGGACCCAGAGCACCTTAGACAAACCACCCAGCAATGGCGGGGCTGGAATTCTGGCGGAGGGCACAAGCCTGAGACTCACACGTCACATTTGCTTCTCCTTCGGACCTCTTGTCTGTAACGCCTCACCCTCACCCTGCACCTGTCGTTAGTCTCATGATGTTTGTTTTTGTTTTTCTGGGTTGTTTTTTTTTTAAGAACATGCAGTTTGACTATTCATCGTTCATACAGGGGAAGACATCACATGTTGCTTTCCTATGGAAATATATCTACTATATATATTAATTTTTTTTTTCAAATCTCACAAAGTACAGCCAGCTCAGCTGGTCAGGAAAGAGACTTGCAGAAGGGATCAGGCTCCTCTTTTTCCTGTCGCATGGATCAGGTTTGTCCTGTTGCAGTCAGGTCTTGGATGAGAAGAAAAAAAGAGAGAGAGAGAGAAACTTTCAAAAATGAGAGAGTTCTCTCTGTCTCTCTCCTGCCTCCCTTCTCTCACTCACCCTGCCCCTCTCTTTCCTCCTCCTCTGCCCGCTGTTCTGCGTCACACGCCTTTTAGCAGACCTGGCCTCCCTGGCACCTAAACTAAGCAGTGACCCAGCTCTTCTGTGGCCGTCATCACACAGCCAGACCCCTTGGGCAGACACCTCACAAATGCTGCTGTATTCCAGAAAGATCAGTGGGAGGTCCGGCCATAAGAAGGGCCAGAGGTTGGCCAAATGATTTCGAAGGCCCTGGCGGCTTGGGACTCTCCTGAAAGGGGTGCAGGGCGGGAGAATCCGAGAGGCTCACCCAGGTCCGGTGGTCCAGGAACGAGGCAGAGGTGCCCTGCGGTGAGGAACAGGCTGACGAGGCTGACGAGAAAGCAAAGCTCTCGGCTCCATTCCCAAGGCATCTTGCCCCTGTGGGATTGCGGCCACCCCTGCTCCAAGTCCTAGCCTTTTTTGTTGTTTTTCTGGTCCTTACTGGTCCTCACTGAGCATAGAACACACACAAGGGAGGACCCCGGAGTGCAGACTCGGCCCAGCCGGTGTTTGCACAACCAGCAGAGACAGGAAATTCCTCAGATTCATTCGTTTCTCCTCCTGTCATTGCTGTGTTTCCAGAAGACATATTTGTGGCTTTTTTTTTTTTTTTTTTTCACCTCGACATAAGGTCGGTAGTATCTTCCAAGATGAGGGTAATGCTATGCCTTAGGACTTTTGATAGCAGAGATTTTTAGACAGCTGTTTTAGTGGGGGGGATTTGGGTTTTGTTGTTTTGTTTTGTTGGTTTTTCAAGACAGGGTTTCACTGTGTAGCCCTGGCTGTCCTGGAACTTGCTTTATAGGCCAGGCTGGCTTTGAACTCAAAGATCTGTCTGCCTCTGCCTCCCAAGTGCTGGGATTGAAGGTGTGCACCATCATGCCCGGCTTCCCCCCCCCCCTTTTTTTAGCCATCTACATGGACTCTTTGAACTACAGTGTTTTTAATCCCAGGTGATGAGGTCTGCCTTATAAACCACCCTTGTCTTTTCTCTGTCTCTTCCACACCATCAAGTGGGCCTCTCCCAGCCCTCCTGGGTATGTGTGTACTTGACCAGAAGCAGTACACAGGTGAAGCTGAGAGACCAGGGCTGCCCTAAGTGGATCACATAGAGGCGAGGAGTACCCAGGCATGTCTCTCTGGGCCTAACTCAGCAGATATCAGCGCACAGACGTGTAGACAGACTGTGGTTCAGACACTGGAATTGAGTTGATCAGGCTCCTTTAGTCTTTCTGTGACTCCCGAGTCCCACCCCATCTACCTTTCAAGAGGTCAGTGACCTTCTGGGTGAGGGCTTGGGCTTAGTATTCATAGGTGGTGATGAGAGTCACATGCTATGTTTCTTGAAAGAAAGGGATACTTTTTTTTTTCTTGGCCTCTAAAATGACTGGTACCTTATCTCAAGTGGGGAGATTAAGCCAGATTCTTACATTGTTTGAGCCCCTGGGTTGAGCTAGAGAGAAAGGGTGGGTTATTTGGTTTTTGTTTTGACTGAGGTCCTGTGTATGACTATGAAATGAGAGACTAAGACGCCTCATTCTGGCCACTTTGCCCACATGTAGAACCCAGTCTCTAACTGTCCAAAGGATCTTCCAGATGAACTGTAGAAGGAAATTCCTTTGTTCCCTAAGGAGCCCTGGATTAAAAACCTGTGAAAGTATGTGAGGCCCAGGATGACAGCCTCAGCCACTTACATTAGAAATGCCCACTGTGGCGACATCTTTGTTTCCCACGCAGTGTTCACAGTACGGATTTACTTTGCTTCTCTTAACTGCAAACATCCTCATTTGGTTTGGTTGGAGAGAAGACATGGCTGGTATTGTCACCCGGGTGCAGTGCTCTCAGGCTGGAGACCCAGAGGGTTCAGATTTAGTCGATCACACCTTGGAGGGAACACCACTACAGGAGCTTTTTGGGTTTTTTGGTTTTCCTTTTTTTTTTCCCCCCCATCCACCATGATCTTCTAGCTCAACATTAAGTTCAAGAGGTGATGGAATCAAACTAAAAATCTCATGTGTCAGATGAATAGGTGGCCTTTCTCTGTGGCTCTCATGGGTTGGGTCAGAAAAGGAATTTGTAAGAAAGCATTGCTATGTGAAGGGTGGGCATTGTCACTCAGGTCCTGGAATTCTCTGTCCTGTGTCCTTGGCCAGGCTGTCTTCAGGTCTCCACCAGAAGAAAACGGTGGTAGCTGGTTAGATGTTGACAGTAGCTTCTCTCAGACCTTCTTGATCCAGGGCAACTTGGTGAGGACCAGAGGCAATGTCACCGATGTTCCATATCCACCCCCCTTTTCAAGGAGAAGGGCCCTCATAAGGAAACCACAAACAGGCTACAGGCTGAGGGAGTTTCTCCTCTCCCTAGCTCAGAACCCTCTGACCCAGCATCTTTTCACACCGACGCCTGGTCCAGATAAAATGTCACTTCGGCTGACATCTGGGTGGCCGTGAGAGGATTGAGTGGCCTCTGTGTCTTCTCACACTGTCCAGGATCCAACCGTGAACACATGTTGGCACATCCACTGTTATTGGCAGAAGAGAACCTGAGAGGGGTCATGTCACTTACCCTGCGAGCAGACAGTGTGACACAGACAGAGTTAGGATCAGGATCCAGCCTAAGTGGTTAGAATGCAGTTAGAAATCCCACTGTTTTCAGCCCCTGTTTCATCCATCCCCAGCAAAGAAACTAAGGATGCACAGGGTGGTTTTCACTGCCCCGTCATTCGGTGCTAGATGTGGCCTGCTCCTCTTCCGAACAGAAACCTAAATTGAGTGACCCAGACAGCCAGTGGGGCAGGAACGTAGAGGGACCCCGGGAATCCTGCCCGTCAGCAAGGCACAGAGAACGAACCCAGTATTCTTTTGGCCCCCGTCCGCGTCAACACTAAACAACTGCGAAACTCCTGCCTCTCGCTCGCTCGCCCTCGCAAGTGAACACTTGTGAAGATTTCTCTTTGCGACTGCACCCACCTGCAAGCCAGATGAATCTAGAATGAATTTTTGTTGTTGTTGTTGTTTAGTTTCTAATCTCTTGTTTATGAGGTGTGGGGTTTATAAGGGACTGAATCAAATGAATGTAACAAAAAAGAAAAAAAAAAAACAAACAAAAAAATGCCTTTTCTCAGGGCCAGTGAGTTGCAAATAATTTTTAAAGAAAAGCCTATAATTACATCATCTCAATAAATTTTTTATAAAAAAAAATATATGAAGTTCCAAGTCTCTGTTTTGAATAATTTGAAATGGAGTCAGACAGGCCAGGTACTCTGATGATGTAAATCCTGTCTACTTAATTATGGAATAAAGTGCAGTCCCGGTTTCTCCTGGCAGGAAGCCGCCATTACCCAGCAGTCAGCTGGCAAGCTGTAGACAAGAGGCCCCAGGAAGGTCACAGCAGATCACTACTCTGAGCTGCCGCCACAGGTAGGAAACAATCTGTCCAAAGGAACTCCAACCAGATGTGCCAAGGATGCACCAGGTCACTAAGCATTCGGGGGGATAGCAGGGGTTAAGTAACCCTGGTTGGGCCAGCACCTGCCAGGTAGTGAAGACATAAATGTGAGGGTAGCGCCCCTGGCCGGCCGGACCCAGGACTTGAGAACTGGAAGGTCACCACACAGCCTGTACACTCAATGTCTCTCCCATATCGGTAGGGCCACCAGCCGGAAGGCAGCTGAGATTTCAAACTCGAACAGCACAGCAGGTTAGGATGGTGCCCAACTGTAAACCAGCCCAGGGAAGGTGGAGGCAGGAGGACCAGGAGCTCGGTGTCAGCCTCAGCTAATAGCAAGTTTGAAGGCAGCCTAGGTTGCCTGAGGTCTTATCCTTAAGAGCACACTACAGATCAAACATACTTGTCACCGCAGCTATTCACCGTCGCAACAGAGATTCAGAGCATGAGAAAGGCAAATGGCATTGCTTTGCAGCAGCTCAGAGGGTAAGTTTGGAACCCAGGAGTTTAAAACTGATCTCAGAATACGTCAGTTTGCTTCTCTCTTCACTTTGTCCCGGGGTGTCCCTGGGCTAGAATGCTTTAAACTGCCATCATCAGAGCACTTGATTAGTAAAATTGAGGAGGCAGTTTCTGGCGGAGCTACAGTGCCTGTGAAACTACAATTTCCGATCATTCTCAATTTGAATCATCTGGGAATTCCTAGCAATGTAGATTGTCGGTTGGGATCCCATAAACTGAAATCAAAAGCTTTGGGGGTGGGACCTCCAAACTGTCCAGGACTCCTGGTGCTGCTGTTGTGTGCTAAGGCACTGTTCTCATTGGCTTGTTCGCCATGCTGTGCACGAGCCCCCGGCACCAGAAGTGATGGTGATTCATTCATTTGCATCGAGTGTGCTCGCCACATGTCCAAACAGACACGGACTGCAGAATGAGGCCAGGCAGACACACAATCACACACAAAGTCAGCACGCTCCATCCAAACCTCTTAAGCAATCAATCTGCTCTAAAGCTGAGCAGTTGTAAAGGGCAGCTGGAGCAGGTGACCTGCCCTTGCAAATTGCACAGCGATTTGTCTACTTAGGCCCACTTGCCTCCCCAGCCACCCTCAGCTAGAGAGAAAGACAGGGAGTGCTGTCACCTGTCCCATCCATGAGCGGTGGCTCTCTGTCCTAGAATTACTAGGCAGAGCCTGAATGGACATATGGCTGGGTGTTTACTGAGGCATCCTCAAAAGCACAAGGCTAGACCGGCACTGCGCCACCCTGAAAGTGCTTGTTAATCACCTGGGGAGCTCAAAAAAAAAATTTTGCTTGTTTTGTTTTGACATGGTCTCATGTAGCTCGGGTTGGCCTCCAGCTCCCTCCCTATGTAGCTAAAGATAACCTTGAACTTCTGATTTTCCTGCTCCCATTGCCCGAGTATTGGGATTGCAGGCATGGCTACCATGCTTGGTTGATGCAGTGCTGAAGATAGAATCCAGGACTTCAGGCATTCAAGGCACGCACTCTAGTGGCTGAGTTATATGTCCAGATTTTTGCTACCTTAATAACATTGTAGGAGCCTCACATGCTTTAGTACCCGTGGGCAGATCTGCTTGTGTACTTACTGTAATCTCTGGGTGGAACTTAGATTCTGTACCCTGCTTCCCCCGTTCATGCTGAAAGCTGGACCCAGGGCCTTGTGCATGCCAAGCGAGAACTCTGCCATTGTCCTCCATCCTCAGCATGACTACGTTTCAGGCAAGCTCTGGGTGATGTTGATGCTATTGGTCCTCAGAGCACACTCTAAGTAGCAAGAGCTTGGTGATTTCCATGCAGGCCCAATACTGACCCTACTTGCTATCCTCAGCAAGTCCATCTCATCACTGGTGCTCCCTCCCTAAGATCCCTCCCTGTAAGAAGTTTGCTTCTTCCCAAGGGTGGCGTTGAGAGTGGACGCCATAGAAAAGCAACGTTGCCAAGTGGAGGACAGTGCCGTTTACCGACTGCACCTGGATGCAGGTGTTCATAACCAGATGCCTACAAGCTATCTCCCTGTCACTGAACATGAGAATCCAGCACTACTGCCTCTCCCTTGGCCTTCACTGTGCAGATAGAAAGCTAACAGTGCCGTCCTTGATGCTCTAAAAGACAAATGGGTTGATAGACAGATCTTCTCTCTAGACTGTCTATGATGTTTATGATGTTGACATTCAACGCTCACTACCCTGGGTCAGTGTCCACACTATCAGTACTTACTGGGCTGGGGAGATGGCCCAGTGGGAACAACACCTGCAATGCAAGCATGAGGCACCAGACTTCAGATCCCCGGAACTCACATAAAAGCCAGGTGACAGACGGCCTGTAATTCCTGTCCTTTGAAGGAGGAGGAGAGAGGATCCCCTCAACAAGATGGCTACCCATATTAGCTATCTCAGCAACCTCTGAGTTCAACTGAAAGACCTTACCTTAGTGAATAAGGTGGAAAATGATCGAGGAAGACTCTGGTGTCAACCTCTAACCCCCACGTGTATGTGCATAAATGCACGTGCACCCATGCATAACTACCTATGTATATAAACTAAATAAGGTTTTTTAAAATAAGAAGGTCCTCAC